AAGAGCAGTTTACAGTATGATATAATGAAATGGGTATTTTATTAAAAACTTTGCACATTAACGATACGTATTACACATGAATCAAATGTGAAATTCCTTCTATTTACTTTGTAAATACTATAACAAAAATCCAATCATGTACACTAAAAATATTTAGGTTAAAATTGTGCCTTATGCATTAAAATTACATAGTGGATTAGTGGATCCATTTAAGTCCACGTTCAGGTTCTTACTTTGTTTACACACAAACCCACACGTCAGGAAACACTGAATGGACATGAGCCGCATCTAGAAATATGATCCGTGTGAACGGTGACAGCTGGAGCTGACGTTGTGTATTTTACTTTCTGTGCAAAGCCGAATCTGTCGCTCTGTGTAAATCTGGGGAGCTGCAAAGATGATTTGTTGTATTATTCACTGGGATTGGAGCAAAGAAAAATATTACTCGATAATTCAGAAAATGGGCATTATTACCCTAAACCAGCGGACTGGGAATCTGATACCCATTAGTATTTCATGCTATGTTTTCATAGTAAACCAAGCATTAGAATTTTATACCCAACATTATAGTTCAAAGGCAAATAAAATGTCCCATTTGGTTGGTGAGTGATGCATTAGACAGTTTAACGAGTCTAAAAACATTCGGGTTTGGCTGTATATCATTTTTAGCCAGAAGTAATTTATATTTCATTTAAATTGGTTTGAATACAGTTCTTATTACACTATCCAAATCTATGTGACAGAGCAAAGACCAGTAATTTATCTGCTTGGCTTGTGTTCACTTGAGTTATGTTAATATTGTGTCACTGCATATTATTTTTAATGTTTCAATTAAAATAAGAAGTAGAATAAACTATTTTAGGTTTTCCTTTTCTTTAAATAATAAATGTAGACGTTTCATACTTTAATTAATCCAAAGGGATCATTTTCTCACATATAAAATTCAGATTTAGTTATTTAATTGAACTGTGTTTGCGCCCTTTTTGTAAATAACAAATAACAAATCCCGTTGTCTGTCTGTCAGGTGCCTCCCCATACCCGGGCGTCCAGATCGATGAAGAATTTTGCTGCAGACTCAAAGAGGGAACCAGGATGAGAGCGCCAGAATATGCTTCCTCTGAAATGTAAGAATTCCTCACAGCGATACTTCATGGTATCATCTTTCTTTAAAAAAAAACAGGTATTTCTACCAAACGGGAGGAAACGGTGAAGCAGGCAGTGTTCCTAAGAAATAACTTGAACTAAAGTTCTGAATATCGATCTTATCCTGTAGGTCTGATCGGAAAATCCAAGACTGATTTCATGAAACAAAAATACACCATATAGTTTGAAGGTGTGTTTATGTCTCAGGCAGTAACCTCCACATCACCGGCCATATGTTCTCCTTTCAAAGAAAATAAGCCCTGTCATATCAGTCTGCAGCTAAGAGGAGGTCTTGTTTCCTTCTCCCTCTTTGCACTGCACCAGCAGGTCAGGGGTGCTGGATAAAAATTCTCCTCTCGGAGTTGCAGGAGGAAATATTAGCTGGTGATTCACTACAGCAGCATGCTTGGAGCTGTGAAGCGTTCTCTGACTGACAGCGGTGCAGAGGAAATTTAGCACTTAATTCAAATGCCTACTTTGGAGGCCTGACGAGGAGGTTTTTAAATTCTTTTTAGAAAGGATTGGAGGATTCAGATAGACATAAATATGTGCAGGAGAACACAGACCCCCCCTCTTTGATGTCAGTTCTGTCAGTTCGTAAAGCAGCAAGTGAAACTTTTTTTTTTGTGATACGCCTCGTGTAGTCGGTCTGCAACTGATCCGAACCCTGCAGAGCTCTGCAGCTCTCGCTGAACCCGTGTGCATATGTTGTGTCTGGATTTCATTTAACACGCCTCACTTACTTAAAATTCACAAGTTGCATTTGTTTTGAAAGAATAATGCTGCACGTCCGCTTAGTAATGATATGCTATCAAAAGCTTCAGAATGTTGCCAAGTAAAGGTAACTGGATTAATCGATCAGCTCTGCCTGGCCATGATTGGAAGCGATTCACTCAATCGAATCCAGACCGTAGATTTCAGATAGGGCACATGATCTGTAGATGCAGACCTACCGGTGCCAAAAACCCCTCATATTTTCCATCTCAGTTCAGTTAGCTCATTGTCTAAAATACTGTAGGGTTGCCAAATTACATATTTTGCATTTTTTATGGCTGTGGGGCCTGCATCTAATTTAAAGTTAAAATAAAACCAGTTAATATCACTTTAAATGAAATGCACAGCAATTCACGCAGAGTCATTGGGGTGAATTATGGTGATCCCCGTGAGATTTTTACAGTTGATCTCTAATCCCAGGTTATGACACCTTGACCTTCGTCCCAAACTCGGAATATAAGAATGATTAAAACCACATGAGGTTTCAGGGAGCGCCATTTAATTTGTGTTCTCACAGCCCTGATTCATCAGGAATGTTGTCTCCCGCCTGCTAATAAGATCCCCCGTCCTGATGCATTGCGGAAGAATTTACATAGAGTGGGAGCACAATAAATAGGATGCTCATTTCCCATCCTACTGCATTTGCCCAACCGGATGAAGTAGTTCACTTCTTCAGAATCTTTCCCCCTCAAAAAACACCAGACTCCCTCAAGACCTCTAAACATGTGGGCCCATGCTATTTATTCTCATTACGGACCAGCCAGGAAATGTGGTTTAAATTGTGCAGTCGTACAATGTGTCTACTTCCTCCTCAATGATATGCATGAGAGCTGTGATCATGCTCCCTACATCCTGTCACTGTTAAGAGGACTAGCACCTGGTAGAGTGCACTCTGTATTAATCAAGGTGGCAATCCCAGTATCTCTGCTTCTTCGAGCCGGCCCAGGATGAGAGGATATTGGGTTGATATACCAACAGACCAACTGCTTTTCCAACTCCTAAGACCTGAGATTGACTAAATATAAAGACAAAATGTAATAACAATGGCTATGTTTACATAAAACTTAAGATCTCTGGAGGGAATGTGGTAACTGCTGTAAGTGAAAGCAGAAAAGAGTCTGCCATTGATTGATCCCAATCAGTAGCGTACTGTGAATATAATTTAAACAGGAGCTGAGGTGCTCTGTTTCAAAATTCCTTCACGAAATGTAGCTGGACATTGCAACGGAAAATCACATTAAAGCTCTGAGTTTTCCCACACGGGCGGAGAGGTTGACAGCTTGTCGAGGCTGTGTGTTCTTACTGTTTTTCACACCCAAAACCAGAACAGAGACCGATACGGTCCCAGAGGCTCGAGATTTACTGACAATACAGAAGCGTATGTGTGGCAGTTGGTTTAGAGGTGGACCACATGTGGTTGCTCGGTGAAAAGAGGTTTGTTTATAAGTGGTGAAAGAGACAAAGAACCACGACTCTGGAGGTCGATGTTTTTCTTCCTGAAGGTGCTACATTTTACAATACATCAACCCAAATATACCGAATGTTGCTCTTGGCTTTGACATTAAGTGTATCCATCCAATATTTATCTTTGCTCTTTCCTCACAGATATCAGACCATGCTGGACTGCTGGCAGGGGGAGCCACAGGAGAGGCCGACCTTCACTGAGCTGGTGGAAAGGCTGGGAGACTTGCTTCAGGCCAGTGTGCAACAGGTATGATGGGCAAAACTTCTTTTTTTTTTTTTTTTTTTTTGTGTCCCGTTTGGATCTTTAGCCATCAGAATTGTTGTCTTAAGGCCAAGAAAGATGCCAAGCGGATTTATTTTACCAAGTGGATCATCATGGCCTTGCCATATTGGTCCATTTGATTGACCTTTATTATAATTATGAATTTATTTTCGGTTGCTACAAACGGGACAGACATGACTGGGGGATAGGACAGGGAGAAAGAATGAAAGAAAGAGAGGGAGAGAAAGAAAACCAGAGGGGAGAAGAGACGGTGAGAAAGGGGGAAAGAAAGAAAAACAAACAAAACACCTGGATCACCTGTATGGAGAAAAAAAAACAGAAAAGCAAACAAAAAAAAGAGCAACATAATAAAAACAGCACCATCACAATAAACTAGCTAGCAGTAGATAACAGTAGATAACAGTAGATACTAAATATTAAACGATATTGTGCAGCACGCAAGATAGACAGCGCACAATGTGCTTTGAGGCAGCAGCCAAGAAAGGTGTAGTCCGCGTCTGTGAACACCCGTGTGTACACCTTTGTGCACACCTGTGTGGATCAACATGCTTGTATTCCAATGATGGGCAAAACTTAACCAATTAAACACTACAAATTATTCACATTTCACTGTTTAAACCCCAGACTGTTCGGATCTGCCATCAGGCTTGGGCGTGAACTGAAACTGCGAGTTTATGAGGATATACCAGAGATTTATCGACGTGTTTTTACTGAGAAGTGCGGACATATTTCAAATTTAAATCCCCACATCAGGGAGGATTTCTGACCATGAGTGCAGTTTTATACAAGAGCAGTTTTACCAATATTAGTTACCAGATTCACAGGATGAGTCACGAGCACTGCTGGTGATTAACAGGGGGGGAAAAAAACAAAAGTTGAAGTGTTTTGCTCACTGTAACTGAGAAGGGAAACAACAGTCAGCACAAACACTTGGCTCTCCTTGAAATGGCACCACCGGTTGTGTAGAGGAACAACACTTCAAAACACGTGGGAGAAAAAACGATGTAATTGTTAGTGTGACGCATGATAACAATGTCTGGTGTCAAATGACACAGACTGTAGATTTTATACAGCTGTTACAAAGCTGAACAGCTCTTTGTTATGACTGGGTCAACAAAGACAAGAACAAGTCGTAATGTTTAGTTTTTTCAGCAAATATTTTACACCGAAATGAGATGAAACACACCCGACAGAGTCCAGAAAACCTTTTTACTTGCAGATATTTTGACTTGACAGAACAGTGGCTATGCTTGCATTAACATTGCCTTCACTCTGTTAAAGCACAAGGCGCAAGCGAAACGGTCTGTGGCTGATCTACTGACGATGCATAATTTACCAACAAAGACAAAGTCAATTTGTTTGGATAATAACCAGCTTATTACCAAGAGAACACAAAACATTATTTACCAATAGAGCCTGAACTGTGTTATTAAAGTTCAATTCAATTCAATTCAATCTTATTTATATAGCGCCAAATCACAACAAAAGTCACCTCAAGGCGCTTCATAGATACAGAGAAAAACCCAACAATCATATGACCCCCTATGAGCAAGCACTTTGGCGACAGTGGGAAGGAAAAACTCCCTTTTAACAGGAAGAAACCTCCGGCGGAACCAGGCTCAGGGAGGGGCGGGGCCATCTGCTGCGACCGGTTGGGGTGAGAGAAGGAAGACAGGATAAAAGACATGCTGTGGAAGAGAGACAGAGATTAATAACAGATATGATTCAATGCAGAGAGGTCTGTTAACACATAGTGAGTGAGAAAGGTGACTGGAAAGGAAAAACTCAATGCATCATGGGAATCCCCGGCAGCCTACGTCTATTGCAGCATAACTAAGGGAGGATTCAGGGTCACCTGGTCCAGCCCTAACTATATGCTTTAGCAAAAAGGAAAGTTTTAAGCCTAATCTTAAAAGTAGAGATAGTGTCTGTCTCCCGAATCCAAACTGGAAGCTGGTTCCACAGAAGAGGGGCCTGAAAACTGAAGGCTCTGCCTCCCATTCTACTTTTAAATACTCTAGGAACAACAAGTAGTTATTGTTACTATCCAAATCAAATCAAATCACTTTTATTGTCACGTCACATGTGCAGGTACACTGGTGCAGTACATGTGAGTGAAATTCTTGTGTGCGAGCTTCACAAGCAACAGGGGTGTGCGAAAATACAATAACATGAAACAAGCAACATATAAGGATGGCTAAATCGGAGAGTAATAAATATATGTACAATATATGAGTGTATGCATTACTGGATGTGTATACTAAATATGTTTTTCTACGTGTGTGTGTGTATACATATTTTACAAATTAAAAATTAAAAATCCAATGTGCATAAATATGAAAAAGCTATTTTTTCCACATTTCTATGTGATGTTGCAGCTTTTTAATTAAAATCAGCGCTGTGCACACAAGTATACTGGCAGATATTTCAGTGTGGTATGTAAGAGATGTGACAAATCAAGTTTTCATTGTAACTTAAAAACCTGAAACGCTGCAAAACTGCTCATCCCACTGTAAAAACTAATTTTACTCAGTTGACGCCACACTGCTTTAAATCCCAACAGTAGCTTCGTAATGCCAAAAGAAGGCTTTGCACTTCCACAGACCATTAGTAAATCAGGCCAAAAGTGTCCGATTAGAGCGTGATTGGCGCTGAAACTGAAGCAGCTGAGTGAAATTTTACACCTGAGTTCCCGTGCTGCTAAAAAGGCTTGGAAGACTAAATTGCACTCGCTCTTAATAAAGTCGCTTTCTATGGCTTTGCATGCCTGCATGTGTCAAAAAGACTAAAACCAGAGTGGATCCATGCAGACTCTGATGAAGGCAGTCTGCTCTCCTGCCATGTACGTTAAGTGCACTTGAAGGCTGTTTGTCGTCTTAATCTTACAGCCTACGTTTAAAACAAAAGGCCTAATTTTTTGATGGAAGAGTAGCAGCGACTGACGCTGATGAATGTATATTTAAGAAAGACGATTGCTTAGTATCAGCTGTCAATGTGGATAGAAAACTGGTTAAAACCTGAACAAAACCGGATCACTTACAGTCATCAGGAACCACAAGGCATCTTTCTTTCACAGACGTAAACAGGCCTTTTTCCATAATGTACATTACTGCAGACAGATAGCTACAAAGAGGAATTGCATTTCACTTCTTTGGAGGACTGTAGATTGTCCAGTTAAGTAATAAGAGACACAGATGAGGCCACATATCACATCACATCAAAGGAAAACTGTTGCATTACAAATGAGTCTGTGAAAGTTACTTTCATGAGAAACAGAACAGAAAGAACAGACTCTCATTACTAAAGCTTGTGTAAGAAGCTCGGTCATGAACTCTCCTGCTACTTGTTCCAGCTTCATGAATATGGTTATGGATTTTGGAGCCATGAGCTTGGTTTCTTTGGCAGCTCACCACAACCTATGGAAGTGTGTGTTTGTACAGAGCGCGTAGCATCACTCATAAACCTTCTTGTTTCGTTGATTTAGGAGGGTAAGCACTACATACCCATCAACACAGCCTTGCTGGCAAAGGTGGGAGACCAGACTGTTGCAGTATCGTCAGAGGAGACACGGCCAACCTCCCACCGCGACTCGGGGAGCAACTGGTAAGAAGATGGAGTATTTTTCATGGACTAGTTTTCATAAATCACACTAAAGTACTCACGGACACATGTGCTTTCCTCCCTGTTATGCTACTGACAATACACAAGCACTGGCACTGGTGCTGTAAAGAGTTTCATTGACCCCTACAGGTCTGCAGACTGCACATTTGCAGGAGTTGCCATGAAATTTTGTGCAGATTTAAATCTACTTTAATCTTGCACATGAAAAATAACACATACTTCACCCTCCACCCAACACTACACCTGCACCAGTATTATTATAATATATCATAAAACAAAAAACGAACACTAAAAATAATCAAATATAAACAAAATAAGCAAATGCAATCAAGAAGCTGAGCATAATCTAAATTTTAAATGAAAACTTAATAAATCCTAAACTATTAATGCCCTAGTACAGAAATTGGTGGACTAATCCTTTTACTTTTGAGATTTCTCCCTATTTTCTTTCTATTTTTATATGAATTTTTAACTTGAAGATGCCCCACTGTTTCTATTCTCTGAATTATTGAGGTTTAGTAGCAATGCAAATAGATAAATACTCACCTGTACCACATTCATAAGTGATTAAACATCTGATAAAAACTCCACTTTAAAAGTGTGCAAATCATTATCGCCACAGGCAAAAGATGGAAAAGCCACCTGCATCACGATGGAGTTTGTTGGCCGAATGGCGGTGGGGTTTTTTTTATATATCAGAATGTGTTCAGTAAACTACAAATTTCTGAAAACATTTTAAGAGATATTAATGTAAAAAAAATACTGCATTCTGTTTTAAATGGCTAGCAGCGGGCGACTCTACTGGTTCCATTAAAAAAAAAAGTCAACTTGCACAGAAGCTTTATTGTGTTTGAATATTGAACACAGTAAACATTTCTTGATGAATTTATGTACTTGACCACTAGTTTCAGTTCTTATGTTGTTCACCACGATGTCCACGTTGTAAATTATGGTCAGGATATGTTTGAGGGTGTGGCGAGCTAATGTCATTGACAAGAATGGCGGCTAAGCTGTCATCCCTGTTGGACAACATCTCCCACCCCATGCAGGAGACTCTGACAGCACTGAGCAGCTCCTTCAGTGGGAGACTGCGGCACCCACGGTGTGGGACGGAGAGATTTCGCAGGTCTTTCCTCCCCACTGCTGTCAGACTCCACAACAAAGACTTTAACTGATCAAACACACACATCCACACACGTGCAATAACACTAATGTGCAATAATCTTTTCTGGCATCGTTGTATTTTTACTCAGTTGTATATAGCATTTGGCATTTATTGTATATTTTATTCTATTTTATTCTACTGTATATAGTATTTTATTTTATTCTATTCTGTACAGTTGTATACTGTATTTATTCTTATTGTATTCTAATTTTTGCTTCATAACTTTTGCACTGTCCACTTCCTGCTGTGACAAAACAAATTTCCCACGTGTGGGACTAATAAAGGTTATCTTATCTTATCTTAAGTCACCACCACTAATTAGTGTGCAATGTCCCCTAATTTTAATAGTCCAATCCAAACACAGTGATTTGAGCTGAAGGTCTAAAACTGCAAACCAAATCACAGTGGCTTTGTCCCGCTTTCATTTCCAGTCTGTGACAGACATTCAGGGTCTAAAAATGTTGTTGTTCCCCAGAATTCCCGTCTGTCACCCCTGTGAGCTTTTAATGTCTTCCATTGAAATTTAGAAGAAACATTAATGCCTCCTTCAGGATTACATGTGATAACTTTCCCTCTCTTATCTACTAATGCAGAACTGTCATCGAGTCAAACTTTATATTTCTCCAATATTCGGTTTTATGAATTACAGCCCCACGGGGCCGCTGGATTGGCTGCAGTCTCTTAGTCTTCTTGGCTCAAGTCTGTTGCACTCCCCAGTGAACTTGTTAAGACATCCAAAGGAAATCCATCACCTTGTCTCACGTACATGTAAACCAATCCTCAGACTGTACAGGCGAACAGCGCAGAGTCTGTTTTGCGAAGGAAATACCTCAATCGTTTTTTTAACTGAAAAATATCTAAAACAATTATTGTTCCCATGACGTTCAGACTAAACTCAACCAGGAGAACGTTTAGGTCCAACCTGAGGACAATGAGAGACCCGATTGGCATGTGATAAGAAATACACAGACGTCAGCTCGATGGTCTGCGAGCCTTCAGTGTTGTGGCTCCTGCGAGGTATTTCCTCAGAAACTATAAAGCGAGGCTTCAGGATTTATGTCCACTTAAAATAATATTTTTTTTTGAGCTGTTGGATTTTCTCAAGTCCCCCAAGTGTGTTTTTGGAAGAGGTGCTGAAACGCATTAATGACAGCTACCCTTTAAGTTAAATTAAGCTGCTGTTTTAGCCTCTGAGCGTTGAAATGCAAAGCAAACAAGGTGTGTTTTCAAAGCACAATGTCATAGATGCACCACATTGTTGACGCAAGTGATTAAGTTCCTCTGGTTTTGTTGCTGAACTTGGCCTTTCAGCTCCAGGGTAATCAAAGGACTCTCTGAACTGAACGTTTAAAGGTGAATTGGAGTCTTAACCCAAGATTTGTTTTTGTTTTTTTTCTTCCAGGACTATTAAGATCCGTCCCGCCAGCGTAAAAACCTTTGATGAGGTTATGATGGAGGACGGAACAAGTGAGAACCACGAGGTAAATTATTAGGCATGAAATTAAACCCGAAACACACAAACAACTTATCCTTTATTTGATTTCAGCTCCACATTTGACTGTTACATACACCGACAGCTAAAACTTAATGATATGTTTCAGATTTTTGACTCATAAATCCTCCTCTTACCTACTTTAGCTACATTTTATTAGTTATAACAGAGCCAGGTTTCCTGCAGCAGTTAGATGCTATTGCTTTTATTTGCTAAAGTTAGCTGGAATTTGTTATAAGTTATAATAATTAAAATGTAAATGCAATTAAATTGAGTCACATGTACATTGGTTTTAAGTATTCAATCTCTGCTTGTCGATCAATCTTCATTAGGGTCATTCAGACAGCGGGATGGGCCTTTTGTCTGACAACATGAAGACACTAATGCGCTTTGAGTCGTTGGCAGGCCGACCTCTGAGCATCATGGCTCTGGCGTACGTATGCTGCACCCCTCCTCATGCCCCCCGTCAGTGACAGATCAGCACACACAAACACACTGTGAGAGACTCAGAGTACCTGCTTGGAAACCTCCCCGCTGTGCAGGAATGTAGACGCTATAACTGTCTTCGGCCTAAGTTTCTTCAGCCTTAAAAAAAACAGTAATTGGCCAGTTTTCCCTTTTGTCTGGAGAACCCATGCGTGAGGAATAGGAGCACAAAGGAAAAGTGGTGGGGAAAAAAAGCTTGAAGGTGACAATCTGAAGGACTGACCACAAAAGCAGGCCGACGTTCGGCTGTTTTTAAGAGCGAGTACTAAAATCTCTTTGTTTCCAAAGAGTCCTGAATGAGATACCTCCCAGCCTGATTTAAGTTATGACTCATGGCTGTCTGCTACAATCCAACACCAGGCAACAAATACAAATAATCTCAAAGGAGCGACGTAGACAAACTGCAAAATCCAGCTGATCGTTTGATGATTTAAAGATGTTGTTCTTCTAAACTGCTGTAAAGACCCGGAGACAATATGTTCTCACTTTAGAGTTTATTCTAGGAAAAACATCTGATATTGCCGAGATTTTTCTCATGCAGCTCTCTGCCGGCATCTTAAGGTTTACATGTGAAGCTTGGTGACAGGGCTAATTTACAGGGTCACACCTCTGAGCTCAGTAATTACACTTTAAACCTTTTCCTATTATTCCGCTGCTCCCTGCACAGTAGCGACTATTAATACTCCTTCAAAGTCCTGTGGCTTGCACTCAAGGGGTTTAAAAGAGCAACAGTGGTCAAGTAAACTGTTCTAGAGCAAATCTTTCCAATCTCTCTTAAGCTCAAGCAAAAAGCATCTAAAGTTGTGAAAGCAACATAAAAGCACTTATAAATTATTAAGAGAGACTGTGTAAAAAAACAGAGACACTCGTAGCAGAGTTAATGACACTCTGAAGCCCTGTAACCTGTAACTGATTTAGAGCTTGCCAGACTTTGATAAACACCCACTCAGAGTCTCCTCTAGATTTCAAAACCTGAAGTCGAGGAGTCATTACAGGCCTGCTCGTCCCATCAGGGCCTCGGCACGGTAGGAAAAATGAGTCCAGGCATCCAGAGAATGACTTTTATTTTAAGGGGAGGACTTCCTTGCTGGGCAACCACTCAATCACTGCCACCTTTGAACTCAGGAGGGTTTTACACAGCTCTCCCCCGCTGCAGTGCTTTTGTATGACGGTCCACCTGACACTCACCCAGGCCTCACCATTCCTCCAGCCTCACTTCCCTCTGCTTATGATTGGTGCTGATTATGCAGAGAATGTTGCCTCAGCACAATGTGGTATATTATTAAGAGACACCCCAGCTCATATTCAAGCAACTTTGATTTAAACACGTGAACAGCTGGGAAACAGTCTGCTGATGGCTTTAGCAGAGCTTAAAGGGACTTTTATTTCCTTTGGTTCAACTGTACCTCCTCCCTGCACTTGGCACTGCCTAAACAACAACTCTGTACTATTGTTTTCTTTACTTTTGATGTCTAATTTAACAGGTAGTTTATTCATCAGCATAAAATTCCAGTACAGGGTTGTCACTTCCCCCCACTGGGCACTGACCCTTTAGCCCTGAGAGAGGAGGTCCGGGAACCCCTAGCAACACCAAGACAATAAGAGGCAATTACTCATATTGTAGTCAAGCAGAAAAGCTCAAGATGATTGATTGCATCATACGTTTGGTTGATGGTAGCTTCACAGGGGGGATTTTTTTTAAAATCTTAATCAAGGAATATCACAAGAGCCTCCTACTGTGAGAGCAATCAAATGAAGTTGTCATGAGGGAAGGCAACCTTGATATTAAGCACAGAGCGTTTAAGTGCATAGGCTATTGTGTAGCAATCCCCACGCATGGAAACAAATTACAGACCACTTAAATTTGTCTTTAATTTTAAAAAAAATGTCATCTTCTTGCTACTTCCCACTTTTCCAAATTTGCCTGATGAGGTGTCCCATTATTCACTGATATGACTATGTTTTCTGTAAAAGCTCACAAATGTTTGTCACCATTTTCCAAAGCCTAAACCAACCTTCGTAATAGGAAATTTACGGAAAATCTGATTTCGTAAAGAGGTGATTAAAACTCATATCGTGGTTAAATATTTGCGGTTTTAAGAAGCGGTCCTCGCCAACAGCGAAGAGAAGATGCTGTTAAGAATACATGCAAGGAAAGCTTTATTCTTATAGCACATTTTAGTACAGTGCACTGCACAAAGTAAAAGCTACCATGGAGATGTAAGGCACAAAACTATATAGATAGATGTACACGAGTAAACAAATACAAACAAGTGAAAAAAACATCCAGTTTTTTGGGGCAAACGTTCATTTTTTTTCATTCGTGTATGAACACAGATAAGAAGAACCACGCCCAATCGTAGAGGTTTAAATAGAATCAGTAACTTTGAGTTGAAAAACATATTTAGAGGTGTAAGTTTATGACGATAAGTATGTGTAACTAACGAGGTATATCTCTGTGTGGCTTCAGGATGAAGGCAGCGAGTAAGAGTAAAGAGTCCATGCTGTGTGACGCAGAGAAGGAGAAATACCAGCCCATCGTCCCCCCTCTGGACTTCAGTCTGGACGACTCGTCTCTAGACGCCAGCCTCGAGTGTCACAGCCCGCCGCCTGACTATAACTCCGTGGTGCGCTACTCCACCCCTCCTGTGTAACTTCCCGTTTTGTCCCTGGAGAATCTGAGAGTGACAACCTCAAGGCCTTTTGCTTCGCCCTCCTCTGTTTTGACTGTTATCTCCGGACCGTTTCTCTAGCAACACTTGAGTGTGAAATACGAAAGGACGCTCATGAATCAGCTTGACCGTGATTTTTTTTTTTTCTTCCAACTTCAAGGAAGGCTGTTAACTGGTGACTTCTCTCCAGTTTGAAGGCAACATTAAAGCTGCTGGTCCGGTCCACGTTCACTGTAATATGGCAAACAGCTAAAAACAGGCTCAGGTATTTCTTTGATCTACTGTGAAACAAACCGCAATGATTTCACTTTGAACAAGCTACAGTGTTTAGAGATGAAAAAGCCTTAAAAGACAAGAAAGAGGACTCCTTAGACCTTTCAAATTCAGACCAAAAACCTTTTTTTTAAAAAAAAAAATAATATATATATAGGTTAACTTTATTGGAAAAAATAAAAACTGTAATTTGTGAAATAGTTTTTGTAATCCGGCTCCGTTGTCTCATACGAAGGTTTGTTTTTGCTCAAAACAAAAAGCAGAGAGTGGAGCGCATTAATTATGAACAGTCTCTTTTGAGGTCATGGCTCCTGTGATCTCATCAAATATTCAGCTCAACTAACTCAGGTTGACCAAGAGTGATAGAGAAGAAGGGTACTCTGGATCTCTCTTGGGTTTCAGAAAATCACAGGTTAATGGGGGGAACAGGGTAGAGCTGAGAGTAAGAACAGACAGCTTCAGATTTGACAGTCTGACTATGGACTCATTAAAGTTACTGTATATACAGACTCATCCACCTCCTTTTCCAGCCAGGTATTAAAGAAATGATTTTTCATTTGAAATTAGTCCAGCTAAAAACAAAAAAAAAGCGTATTTTTCTTCTGTACAGACATAGTTAGAAACATCATAGGAACAGTTTATTCAAGAGACCACTAGTTAAACTAATAGAGTATTTATAAACTGAAGACACTGTCACTTAGTAATCCAGCTCTGTTGTTTATATACATTCATATTTTAAGTTAACCAAAGAATTTTCCAGCTCAGTCTTCCTGATATCACCATGCAATATCCTGGTGTTGAATTCCAGACATTATATGCTGTTTGTGCTGCTGCGTTCACTGATAATAACGCTGAGGGAACCTGCTTCTGCATCTTGTTGTAGTGAAGCTTGTGGTGCGGGCTATCAAAACTCTATGTGTGTGAGAGAGAGGTCCGCTCAGTGCGCAACATCACCAATGTTTAAAAGCACATTGAGCTTATCTTTATGTTGCGATACAGCAAACACGCCCCGTGGAAATGCAGCTAGCTCATGCCCATTAACCACTGCAGAAACAGTGTTTGTCAGCGAGTAAACTAAAGTGAATATTTTGATCATTTCCTGATGATGTTTTGTTTGTGTGAGAGGAGAGGAAGTAATTATGCACTGATGCTTTATATCAAGTATATGGTTTTGTATTTTAAAGGTGTATTATTAGGAACATATGTTGACAAACACATGTTTAAAATTATTTTTTTCTTTTTTTGTTTGTTTTTTGTTTAAGTAGGAATTAACACTTCTGTTATTTGTTGCATTATTTCATGCCAGTCTAACATCATCATTGCTGTTGATTATGGAAATAGCTATCTATGTCAAGCTTCATATAAATGGATCCATCGTTTTAGCCTCTACTTTAACAGTATTAATTATCTCAATATCTGATCAGTTTGGGTAAATGATGTATTTTATCTAATGTCTTTGGAAAAATCATGACTAATGCTTGCAGCAGCTCAAAGCTCCTTCCGAGCTGCTTCTGTGTTGTAGCGTAACAAGTTATAGTGTTTTAGAAAATTATGTTCCCCAACACTGTTAACTGAGTGTATGAAATGAATAAATAAAGATCTATATATTTATACATTACTTGAGGCTTGGTTCATATTTGCTTGAAATATGTGGGAAAATGAATTATTTGTTGATACTACAACTGTGGATCAAAAGGGAAATATTCTTCTTATATGGACTGCTCCCTTTAGTGTTTAGTGCTTCTACTGACTCTTCTCTCCAGATCATTGCCTCACCCTATCATGTGATCTATTGAGATGAAATGACTCAAGATGTGAGCGGGCGTTAAGGAGCCTGGGAAGGGATCTCAAAACTGGATTGTTGGTGGCACACAGTTTCTTTCCCTTCTGCCTTGGATGGAACATTTTCTGTCCGGTGTTGCAGGGTCCTGATCCCGCTAAGGTCCAGAATAGGACTTAGGATACTGATTAT